GAAGTTTTGGCATTTTTAACCAGATTTTTTTTTCACTTGAGAGAGTCAAGATTTGCTAGTGAAGTCTCATTGCTGGTGAGATTGTATTCAACTTACTGTGATCCAAAAACAGTAGGACGAGGTTTCTTCATGGCCATTGCTTATTGAATGTTTAGTACTTCTACAGTGTATCTTATACTTTTAGTATTATTCGACACGGCACTTTTTTTAGTTCAATAATATATGATAATCACCACAATTTATTGCATAGAAAGTTATCAATGTATTAAAACGTTTGCCTAATTCCTTATGACCTGTAAAGGATGAAACACTGAATTTAAGTTTTGGATGATCTACAAATGAAAATATCTGGGTGAAAAGGTTAAAGAAATAGCCATGGGGGAAACCTCTGGTTCCAGAGACACCCTGATCCACTTCTTTGTATTTTCTCTTGAAATTTTGTTTGTGGAGCATTGGTATTCTAATTTGCTCCTTGAAGCATAGAGGATAAAAACTTAAAAATGTATATAATGGAAATAGAGTATTAGTTATTAACACTTTTATAGTGATAAGTTTAAGTTTATTATATTAAGAAAGAGTAAATCAAAATCTAGCCTTGTTATCATGAAACTCTGGCTCCAAGGTCAGCTTTGCTAATGCTGCCAGAGATTTGGTTCTAAATAACAGATTTAAAATTTATACAGACCAACATAAGCGTATAAGTAATATATGTTTGAAACAAATACTTCAAGTAAGCATTCAGTAACTATATTGGATGAAGTTATATATATGTTATATATATATATTCCATACTTTTTGTAAAATTTATAATATAGAAAATGGAAATGAATTAATTAGTTGATTACTTTTGATCCACACACACATACACATTCACTCACTCATTTTCTCTCTGTCTCTATTTCTGTTATTTGGAATCTGTCAATTATAGTCACAGGTTTAGGATCTACAATTTGCTTACAAGCTGATTTTGAATAGTTCAGTGCTGCAATTGGTATTTGAGGAAGGCTGCTATTTAAATGTTTTTGTTTGTATATGTATTTCTGTTTCAAAAAGCTTTACATTTTTCACTTTGCTATGAAAAGTTTCATTTTAGCTACAACTTCAGTCACTTTCCCTTGTTTTGGTATCTATTTTGAAAATAACATGACTGCTTATAAATTTTATTAATGTGACTAATTAAGTGGTTGAAATTGAGTACAAACATTATAGTAATGGTGAGAATGGGGAAGGGGTAAGTTCATTGATGATAGACTATTTAAGGGGAATAACAATGCATGTACTATTTTTCGATTGAAAATAAAACTAATGCTTTTTCATAATATTTGAGTGAAATGAAAAAGGAGAGAATAGCAAGTAAATGAAACAATAGAATTTGACAGTGATTTTGTGTAATAATTGAGTGAAATGGAAAAGGAGAAGATAGCAAGTAAATGAAACAGTAGAATATGACAGTGATTCTTTGTAATAATTGAGTGAAATGAAAAAGGAGAAGATAGCAAGTAAATGAAACAATAGAATTTGACAGTGATTTTGTGTAACTTATAACTTTTTTTTTTAGATAATAACTGCTTCACTAAAGATGGGATACAGCCAGAAGGACTATTGCTGAAGAGAATAGAACAATTGTCGGCTGTTGGCTGTGAAGATGCAGCTTTACAACTGTGTAAAATTTGTCTTCAGTGTCACCAGAACTCTTGTGAAACTCGGAGTTTTGTGAATGCAAGTTATGGCCCAGAAACTTCGGAACAGGAAATTGAGGGAACCTTCATTGACTGGCTACTTAGGCTTCTACATAGAACTGGTAGACTTGCAGAACTTGTCAGAGAGGTGAAAAAAAGAGTAAATGTTAATTAATACAATGACACCAAGAGTACTATACTTTTCTTATGTAGTTGTATTTTGAACGGATATTGAATTGGTTGCTTATACTTAGCTCCAATTTTATTTTATTTCTTTCCATGTGATTGAATTTTTTCAAATATTGTACTTTTAAATTATATAAACTTAGTTCTGTCATCATCTAAGTCATCTTAGAGAAGAAAATAAGATGGAGTGAGTTGATGTTTTTTAAAACTTGACCAGCTAGATTGTTCAATCAGCACTTTCAAGGATCCATTCTAACATGAATAAACTGTAAATTATGTACACTTTGCTTGAAACTTATGGCATGTATGAAACAATTTAGTATTTACACTTATTTGTAGGCTATGAGTTTACCATTTATCTTAACTAACATTGACTATATAAACTGACTGCTCTGTGCAAGAATATGCTGTTATACATTTTGAAAACTTTCTTCATTAAAAGGTGCAAGTAAGATGTTTCACTTGGACTGATGATTTAGGCTGCGTTTTATTGATGAGAGAAGGTTGATTATGGACTTAAACACACTTGAAGCACTAAATCTTGTGGGCAAGAAAGTCTGTGAATGATAACATTTGGGTAACTTTTGAAGACAGGTTATGGAAATGACCCAAAATGCTGTTACTCGCCAATTTGTTCATCCAAAGGATTCGGTTCATCTGAGGCTGTTGAAGTTTATAATCAACTTTCTCATTAAAGTATGTTACTCTTGAAATAACACAAACTCAGCATCAACATCAATATTACATATAGTATGTATAAATCTATACCACTAAATACATAATGTAATAAAATAAGTGCAAACAATATAATGAATGATATGCTTATTTATATAACTATGTTAAAGAAAGTAAACTTAAAGAAAGGATAGAGTATAACTACCTTTCTCTTGTTGCTGTAAAGTAAATAATACTCTCTACTGCTAAGACTTGTTAACCCATCTATCCGAACAGCATCTTTATTACCAGGATATGTGGAGTGAAAAACTTGTGTTTACACCCTCCAGTAAATTGCTTGTAAAATTAACAGTGAATGATTTAGAACAACATGCAGCTAGAGAAAAGGATATTAGCCAATTTCTCTGAACAATCTATCATTGTTAAAATTAAACATATGCTGAAACTGTGCACATTGGAGTTTGAAAAATTCTTTTGAACTTGAAGAGTACACTATAATAGGTAAAAGTAGATAAGAAATGTTATGTGTAAGTTTCCATACTATACATAAGATAAGATTTTAAAAAGTTCGTACTAATAATACGACGTAGAAAAGGAAGAAACAAATTGGTGAATAGGGCAAAGTATCGAGGACAAACTAATGTAACTTAATGATGTACTGCTATACTGTACACTGTAGTAAGAATCTAAAGGTTTGTTTATTTCACTCCGTGATTTGTTATTTGCATTGCTTAATTTTGTTGCTAATTGTTCCTTGTTTTATATGAGAACCCATTTTTCAACTACAGTGGTAATGGTGTGGGGAGCAAAAAAAAAAAATTAAATGAATACTGTAGGAACTTTATAAATATTTTGTGTGTTACTTCTGTATTTACAAAAAATTTTATTCTGATTTCCTGATAGTGTTAGTTCTCACTAGCTGACACTATAAATTGATTAGGTAGTATAGAGATTATTCTTGCCTGTTTTTAAAGCAGGCATCAATAACGGTTTTGAAAATGGTGTCATATGTATAGCATTTTGATATACCTCTTTACTGAAGAATTGTTTAGTAGAGTGTATTCATAAAGCCAATAAGATATATTTTAAAATTTTCTGATGTTTTAATTAAATCAGATTATGCATTCTTGATGTAAGGTTGTTAAAAGGCTTGCTTAAGATAATTTTAAATGATTACATGTAGTTTTGTTGATGTAATTTTTATCAGTAGAACTTATATCAATTATTTCAGACCATGAAGTACACTTGCCATGATGGCGTAAGATTGATAAGGAGGGTACAACAGAGCAACGAGCCTGACTCGCTTGACTTAGCAGAAGTTCTAACTCATGCTTTTTTAGTGGGTGATTTTCTTCAGACTTCAACCTACTGTTGCACAAAGGTGAGTATATAGTTTTACTATTTATTCTTTAAAAATATGTTATGTTTTATTTTTCAACTTACTACTATTAACAGTAATGCTAAAATAACTTTTTCTAATTAAAAAAAATTATTGCTATTTCTTGAAGTTTAGGTTATAATCAGAAAAGTGGTGAATTTTTTATTTCAAGAAGGCTTATACTACTAAAAATAGGGTTTTGATACCTGTGGTGGACAGAGCACAAAAAGCCCATTTTATAGCTTTGCACTTAACAACAAACAAATTGATTTACATCAGTGCAGAATAATATATGTTACTGTAAAGGTTTAATAGTTTTCTACTTTTTAGAAAGTATTTAAAGGTAGTGAGAAATGTAGTATTTTTAATACCAAAACTGGAGATTATGTTAACAAGATAAAAAAATTGATATCATTCATACTTAACTTTGTTCATCTATTTGGAAAAATATTTTGGGAGATATGAACTATTAGTAAAAATCTTTTTCTTTGATAACCAGTAGAGTATCTTCCTGCAACTATTTTTATCTGTGTTTCTGATAATTTTACTTATAAGCAGGAAATTGGGAAAACAATTCCATTCCATTCAGGTGAACGTACTCATTAACATAGTATGCACCATAAGATAAACAAATGCAAGTATGTATTCCTGAATTTCTAAATAAGTCAATATATTATTTAAAATGAATTTTAAATATTTCTTATAAAATAAGTATAGATGGACAATTTTTTTCTTCTTTCTTTTAGTTTAGATTTAAAACTTTTGCTATGTGGATCATTGCTTACAGTAACAATCCTACAGTTGTAATTTTTCAAGTACAAGAGGTTAAGTAATGAAGATCAGATTAAATGAAATTTACTTAAAAAAACAAGTATTAATGAACATGAAAGATTGTTATATTCATGTGTTTAAGAGGTTTTGTATGTTAAAACTTTTTTTTTTTTAAAGTGAGGCTCACACAAAAACTAATTATTTCATACTTTACTAGGAACTGATGGTTCTATGGTGTGACATACAAGTTGAAAAAGACAGGGAATTAGAGGAGGTGTTCAAGGCTGTGAAGATGTTATTGGTCTGTTATGCTGCTACCAGTGCACACTTTTATCTTTTTGTTGACATCCTGTGGGAGAAGGTGAGAAAAATTGTTTGAATTTTTAAAATAACATGCACTGGTCTATAGATGATAGGCATCAAACCATGTGTATTATATCTTATTACTATGGTATCATGTTATGGAAATCTCCCCCCTTGTTTGGATAATTTTTATGCTTTTAATGAGTCTTAAAGGAGCCCCTTACAGGGTTCAGATAAAATACTTAACACTTGCAATTAATTTTTAATTTTGGCAAAAGCAAAACACTTTCTATTTGCCGTTGCGACTAATGGAAAAATTAGTGGTGAAATTAATACAGGTGAGATTGAACATTCACAAATCAGTGTCACACATTGTTCAGTTGTATCATTCCTGATTGCAAGTATATTCTAAGTCAACATTAATGCCATGTCAGCCAGACTACAAGGGATAAACAATAATAAAGTGTACTAAACAATACAGTGCCTAAAATGACATCAAACAACATTTTAAGGTGTAATTGATCAAAACCAACACTTTACAGTTCCACTAATCACAACTTTATTTGCATCATATTTGGGTTATAGCACTGGTTAGGTAAACGTACATTTAAAAAAGAATTGTAATTAAAGTATTTCAGACATAGCTTTGTCATGCAAATAAATGGGTAAAAGCCAGCTGTGTTTAGGTTCCTTTTTTTTTTGTAGATATATTATTGACTGTTACTGATTATTTGAAAAATATTTTTATAGTTTATTGTGCAAAGAGTTCTGAAAGTGGCAGTCTCCACAGCAAAGGCACATGTGCATAACACATTTGATAATTCAAAATTTTACTTTCTTGTTCTGTCTGCCACTCTTCCACATAGCATTCATGATCCTCGTATCCCTGCCTTATGGCTTCTAAACTCAATGATCTGGCTACTGTGAATTTTCTGTCAGATACTGGCTTTCAGGAATTAAACCTGAACCCTGAATATATTTTCACATGTGTTTTCTTCCACTGGGCACAAAGGAAATGGAAAGTATTTAGTCGGAGCCTGTGTTACCCAATACTTTTCACACCCATCACCCCACCCCCAGTGACTTAACAGTAAATCTGAGGGCTTATAATGCTAAAAGTTGTGTTTTGATACCCATGATGATCACAGCACAGATATAGTCTATTATGTAGCCTTGTGCCTAATAACAAACAAAGAAGCCCATACTATTTTCATTTCCAAGATACCCACAGTCACATTATCTGTATATTGGGTTTTGTTTTTGTGCAGCGGATATATAAGAACTGAATTCAAGAAAGAGGTGGAAGATTTATATTAAAATACTTACATTGTATTTGTATTCTAGTTTTTAGGAGTTATAATTTTAGATTATTTAGGTTGGCCATGAACTTTGACCTAAATGTAAATAAGGTGTAGTTTGTGCACTATTTTTGAGAAATATACCAATTTGTTTATATGTGTATATTATGTTCTTGACTTTATTATAATAATACTTTCTCGAACAATGAACGCATCTAGTTATTACATAGATACATTATTTTACTTATCATTTCATTTTGGAGATCAAGATGTATGCCCCTAGTGGGTCAGCAGTAAATGTGAAGGCTTATAATACTTTGATACCTGTGGTGCACACAACACAAATAGTCCATTGTTTAGTTTTGTGCTTAACAAGAAACAAACAAAATCAAATAATAAGAAAGTATGTAGAACTCTTGAGCTTTATAACTTTCATATAGAATTTAATGTATAATAACAATAGTAGCCAAGAACTGGTTCTATTTAACATCTGGTATTAAAGTTGTTTTTTTTACCTCCGGTGCAGATTTATAATGTTACCTAAGATTTGAAAGAAAAAATGCTCTTATGCAACAGCCCTGCTCTTCATTACTGGTGTAGAATACGGTGCACAGTGTAACATACATTTCCTGTTGGAAGCTTCAGTGTATGGTTTGAAAGCTTGTTTTAGTGAAAAACATGGTGGAAGGTTCTTGTAATATCATTTTATACCATATGTTTATAGTTGCATAGTACTTTCTAGATTTTTTTTTGTTGATATTCAACTACCTCCACCATTTTTGTTAATGAAAGCCCTTGAGAAACTTGCTTTATTCTGTTAGCTGATAAGTCAACCTTGTCAGACATACTATGCAAGTTTAATTATTGTTTATTTTTTTTGTCATGTTGGAGCTAAGATTTGTTTAAGCGTGTTTTAGGTTCATTCTCACTTACCTGAATTTGCTTGGGTAGTAAATGGTTTTCAGTTTTACAAATTTATTGGTCTTTCATTTGTTCTGTATATACTAAATGGTGCCAGAATAAAGGGGGGGGGGGCACAACCAAATGCTTGGTTAGTAAAATAGCTGGAATCTTTGGTGATTGTGAAGTAATACTGAAGCTCCTGTATAATGATTACTTTTTATTTGTTACATTGAGCTCCTTTAGTACTATGTGTTTTAGCTTATTACATCTTTTATGTTGACTGTCCATAGCAAATGACATCCCTGATTTTAGGGTATCTGAATGACTGAGAAATACTTTTTTATGTTTACAGAGATTTTTCTAAAACATAAAAAAATATTTATAAATACTTAAAGGTATTCAGAATTGAAAATTCTGTAAGTACCACTTAACATAGCAAATATCTTTAAGACAGTTTACTATGATACATTTAGTTGAATTACCTTATAATGATATATTATTAAGAATAATGTTCTCTATAGCCTTCTTTTAGTATTATATTATAGCTTTTTGAACAGTTATCAGAACACTTTTGAACCTGGTGCAGTTATTAGAATAGACTTTTGGAACAGGTGCAGTTATTATAACAGATTATCTTTACTTTTTGAAAGTAAGTGTTAAATGCTCATGTAGTACTATTTATATTTGTTATACCAAACCTTAGATCTCTCTGATGTGCTTCTTTCTGTCAACATGTCGGTAATAAAAGTTACAAAGAATGGCAGACTATATATATACACACACACACACACACACACACACACACACACACACACACACACACACACACACACACACATGCTAACGTAGTTACTACACCTACTTGTAGTATAGTAAAGTAAT